CAATAAGTGATTTTTGATAAAGCCCAAGCGATGACTATGGAAAGGACGGAGAAAGATTTTATAACCAATCGACACACTGTATGAAGTTGAAGAGGTTTTTTATGTTATATGTTTTGTGTGTTTATGTTTGTTTAAAAATAAAAAAAATTATTTACCAAAAAAACCAAAAAAAACCCACTCCTGCCCAGAGAGAGGAGGTGTGGTAGCTCATGTGCAGCCAGGATCTCTTTCCTAGAAGCTCCTGAAACGGTTGGTGTCCTTTGGGGAAACAGACCAGGGTTAACCCTGAGGCAGATGCTGCCCCCCCTCTGCCCCTCCTCCCTGGCTGCTTTCCTGGAAACCGGGCAACCAATGGCTGGCCCTCTTGTACCAGAGGCCTGACCCCCACCTGCAGCCCCCCTACCCCCTTTCTTACTCCTTCCCACTAATTCTCTGTGATTTCCCAAGGGAGCCCAGGGAGGTTTGCAAAAGAACTCAATCCCCCACCAAAAACCCTTCAACACACCAACCATAAAATGAGTCTTAAAATTACGAAAGACAAAGCAAAGTTCATTTGGGAAAAAGAAAAACCGTCTGAAAGGCTCCTTGGTCATGAAGCAGTTATATGCATACGTGCACATATACACACACATGTAAACATGCATATCTATATGATTCATGCTCTGCCTTTCTCTTCTGGCAGGCAGCTAAGAATAGTTTAAAGCAACATCGATTAAAACCAATACTACGCTGGAATCAAAAGATTAACTAAAGTTGGAAGGCGACCTTGGGGGCCATCTAGTCTTACCCATGTCCCAGCAGAAATCACCTTGGACAGGAGGGGCTGTTCAGCCTCTACTGCCTTCGAGGCAGGCCACCCACAGCCACGCCCCGTAAGTAACCTCCTAAGGCTCAGTCGGATTCTACTTTCTGGTAACTTGACTCCATTTGGCCACGTTCTGCTCTCTTCTGGGTGAGCTGCTTTCAGGCAGAGTGTAAACACACACACACACACACACACACACACACACAAAAACACGCCCTTTCTGTCTTCCCTGTTTCCTCCTACCTCTTCTCTGGGCCTCTTCCAGAGTCAGCCTGGGGTCTTCTTGAAGCCTGATGAGGCACTTAAGGTGCTCTTGGTCCCACCAAGTTGCACGTCTCCCTCCCAGCCTGTCTCCAAACGTTCCCAACTGAGGCCTATCAATACATTCCACTTTCTCCAGTGCAGGCAGCCCATTGTGGGAGGAGGCTGACTGTCACCTCTTAAATGACCCTTGAAGGTCTCTTCCAATTGCAGCCTGTGGTTTGCACAGTTGCCCAGAGCTCTTAAGGACAGCCAACAAAAAATGAAGCTCAACTTCTTTGCTTTCTGTGTCTCTGTTTCCCCCTCTTAGGCTCCCCACAAATGCATCTATGCCCCCACCCTGGTTTTTTTGACAGAACTGCTTTCCTAGAAGTCAACCCTGAGACCCACAACGATGCTCTCGTGGGGTCGGCACTTACAGCAAAGGGGCCTTGGCTGCAAAGTCCTTGCCAGTCCGGAAGGTCCAGTTGAGAAGGGGGATCTTCTGTGCGTGCAGGATAAGGTAGCGCAGGCTCTCCATGGCTATGCTGAGGTGGGGTGCCCGATGCAGGCTGTCCTTGTGCCAGCTGTAGACGCCCACCACGGGGGATCCATAGTCCTGCACCCAGAGCACCTCTCCGTTCTCCTTGCCCACGGTCACCAGCCAACCGTCTCCGCTTGAGGCAAAATGGGCCACGCCTGTGCCGGGGTGAGGGGCAGGTGTTGGGCACGGCAGCAGAGGCTTTGATATCCTTGAGTGCAGATGCCCGCCAAGTGCTAATCACAGGGTCAGTCGCACTCCTAATTCCTGAAGCTGGTCTCATCTCTGATGGGACCTGTCAAGCCCAGCAGCCTAGGCCAGGGGTCTCCAACCCTGGCAACTTTAAGCCTGGCGGACTTAAAGCTGGCTGGGGAATTCTGGGAGTTGAAGTCCACCAGGCTTAAAGTTGCCAGGGTTGGAGACCTCTGGCCTAGACTGACTCTGGCAAGAGGGAGACTTTCAGGGCTTTGGAGAAGCTGGGATATCAATTTCCAGATGTGAAAAAATCACAAGTTTAAAAATAAGCTTAGATCACACAGATTGGCTGATGAAACCAACAGCTTTTGTGAGGAGGGCCTAATATTTAATAGCAGATGTGCTATTAAAATTGGCACTAGGGGAGTGGGTGGGAAAACTCCGGCTGCCCTCGTCTGAACCAGGGCTGGGTTGTTGCTGGTTTTACTACCGGTTCACAACCCACACCTGTGCTGTTCAATGTAAATTGTTCTTCGCGCATGCCCAGGATAATTTGCAGTGAATTGCACACGCACAGTCATTAAGAATCAAAATGGTGGCAGCAAGTTTGGGGGTTTGGCAGGCCTGGGTCGCTACCAGTTCTGCAACCCAGGCCTGAATTCCAGTACCGATTCAGCTGAACCGGGAGCAACTCACCTCTGGTCTGAACTCCCCCCCACCAATGAGGTTAGAAGGGCTGCCCTCCCTCCTTGCCTGCACTGTGATTCCATGGTGACATTCCTTGGAGTCCCACATTGCTGCTTCCCCTACCAGCTGACAAGGAAGGGAGGGAGGGAGGGAGGGAGGGAGGGAGGGAGGGAG